GTACAATTTGTAACTAGCTAATAAGTCAAAGTCTGAAATTCAATAAATGCCACATTAAGCATGAACATGGCATAGCATCACTGCATTCCTATACAGAGCTATAGTTAATTAATGCAGGCTGTGGTAGTTATGTTTGTGCGCCAACCAGGCTGAGGCCCAAGGCTGAGGGGTTTTCACCCAGCCCCTAGAGCCTGGCACTTTGAACTTGGACTTAAAGCCTCCAAATTGTAAGAATATACCCCTGTTTGTTAAGGCCATCCCATTTATGGTATATTCTTGTCAGAGCGGCACTAGGTAACCAGAACAGACTATGGTACAGAGAGAGTGGGGTGCTGCTCTGATAGATACCTAAAATGTGGAAACAGGAGTGGAGTGCGTCCTTGACCCGAGACCTGGCAGAGAGACCCCGGCATATGACATGACAGACGGCAAGAGCAGAGCCAGAGACCAGAATGAGAGACAGCAGGAGCAGAGCCCAGAGATCGGCATGAGATAGCAATAGCCTTACCAGCTCACGGAGAAGAAAGTTTGATGCTTTTGATTAGGTGGCTTCCTGGTGGAGTGGGTTGCCTTCAGGCATTAATTCGTAGAAGAGACCAACTTGAAATTGAGTAGCAGGTTGGCCGGCATATGGAGCAAGAAAGCTAAATGTCCTTTGGGGCAAGAAGATTCCTGGCTGAGTGGGTTGCCCTAGGGCATTAATCAGTAGAAGCGGAGACCAAGGAAATGGAAGCAGAGCTGCCTCAGCCTGAAAGGGTAGGTCCCTGGCCCCCTAAGTTTCAAAGAGCCAGGCCTTCACCAACTTGGTTCTGGAGTGTGGGGCTGCTCATTCATGGAGCCCATGGGATGAAGTCATAGCTGCTGCCCAAGAGTAAGGGGGTGGGGCTGCCATGCCCAAGAGGGAGAGAAACGGGGCCACCAGGCCAAGGGGATAAGGTCGCCACTTAGAGGAACTAGGAGACTGGGGCCACCCAGTGGAGGAGATTTGTACAGATGCCACCCAATGAAGATCCAAACAGATGCCAAGTTGACAAGGGGTGGAAACGTTTTTATATCAACTTGGCTGGGCCTGGTTGAGTGGCTGGGCAGCTGGTGGTAGTTATTCCCCATGATGAGACTGGCAATCAACTCCATGGTGGGATCTACCACAAGCAGCTGAGTAAGCTGCCTTTGGGATGTGTTCTGCTTCCTGTATTTAGGGAGAAGCCTTGGGAATGGTCTCTAGCATACGGCACGCTTGGACCCTGCATGTAGCTGTATTGTTCAGCAGCCTGCCATGCTCTGCTGACCTTAGGACTTATGATGGACTTGAATTATGCCCGGCTGTGTGGTTTGGTAACATTGGGACTGTGCCTTTTTTACTTCTCAACCTTGGGCTTAGCAGCCAACAGCTGTCTGAGTGAAGAAAAGCCTCTAGCTTCAGTGGGCCAGGAGCTGGAGGTAGAGCTGAAGCCCAAGCCTGGCAGTTTGAATTTGGACTTAAAGCCTCCAAACTGTAAGAATAAAATCCTGTTTGTTAAGGCCATCCCATTTGTGGTATATTCCTGTCAGAGTGGCACTAGGTAACCAGAACACAGGCCGACAAAATTGGGAATGGGAAGAATGTGTCCATATGATCATGTATGTGTACATATTCACAGAAGCTCCTTCTTCTATGGACTGCTATCTTTTAAATAGAACTTTCTTGTAAGTAGATGAATATCTTTAGATACTCACAAATATCTTAATAGAAAGAATTAGGATTGAATTAGGAGTATTTTGACACCATTATTAGATTAAGAACATTCTTTCATTCAGAGTCCTTAAAACCTTTCAAGGGCTTTTATTGCATTTGGGAGTTAAGTTTACTCTCCCTATTTCCCTGTCTTCCTATTGATAAACCCTATGTGAGTACCACATATGTATCTTTTCCAGTCTCTGTATATATCTTTTCCTGCCTTATCTTTCACTTCGCAATGTGTACACCCAACCTACATTTCCCAAGCCACGCCCTCCCACAGATACGCACACACATACAGTACCAGTCTGAAATTCTTCTACATCAGCACTGTATAATGCAAATGAGACCCACACATACAATTTTAAATTTACTACTAGTCATATTTTAAAAGTAGAGAAACAGGTAAAAATAATTATATTTTGTTTAACTCAATTATATTCAAAATATACTTCAATATGTAATCAACACAAAAGCTACAGTCTCTGAAATCCTACGGGTCTTTTACACTTACAACACATCTCACTTTCAACTAGCCAGATTCCAAGTGCTCAACTGCATCATACAGTATTGGCTACTGTTTTAGACAGCACAATCCTAGTGGTCATGATCCTTGCCTTAAGATTATCACACATGTATTCCTCTGGCCCTACAGCCCCATCTTCTCTGCCCTTCTGCCTGGCCAATAAGTACACATCCTTCAGCATTGAGCTGAAGTGTGGCTTCTTTTGGGACACTCTTTACTACTCCTATTTTCTTAAGTCTGATGTCCTTGCTATAGGCTTGCACTATAATTATACTTACCATGATTTATTATAATCATTTATTTTACATTAGGAGCTATAAATGACCAAACATGACTATTACTCCAGCTATCACATAATTTAGTAAAATCTATAAAACATATATGCATTAAAAAAATCACATGAAATAAGTAAAATGGAGACTGTATACTGAAAGTTGTGAATACAGACTGTATAGGGGTCTATGCCAATTCCACCACTTACTAGCTCTGTGATCTCTGCAAAATACTTAATCTTTCAAACATATTTCCTCATCTATAAATGGAAGTAATGGAATAATTTTTATACTTTGAGGATTAAATGAGATAATCCAATTAAGAAGCTTACAACAGTGCTCAAGATGTAGTAAGCCTTTAACAAATGTCAGTTATTATCCATTTCCTAGTACAATAGCTGTACATAGTAAGAAAATATTTCTTGACTGGATCAATACTGAAAATATATGAAAAATACAGTAAGAAAAGTACTAACAAAAATACTCTGAATGATCATGGGAAAATACAAGGGCTATACATGCACATGGTGACAACTTGGGGGCAGGAGTGCATGGAGGAAAGGACACAGGGAAGGAGTAACTATGGGGAGGAAGTGGGAGGGGAGCTGTTGCATTGTGGGAAATTGTAGTCATTGTCATGAGACAAAGTGTGTATGATCTGCTGTATGGAAAGTGAATTTGCTCTGTAAACTTTCACCCAAATTACAATTAAAAATAAATAAATAAATAAAATACCCTGGATGTTCAAAAGGAGGAATGTTTGGTGGAGTCAGGGAAAGTTTTGAGAAGGAATTAGGATTTGATTTGAGTCTTGTAGAAGAGGTTCATGAATGGCAGAAATATAAATATACACATATATGCAAATATGTATGTTATATAATAAAATGATAAACAATGACTATAGTTGTCAAGAGAATCCTAATTTATGTAGGTATCTACTATCAGATTTTGCTGCTCTTAGAAAGGGAATGACTTAGTGATTAGATTGTTGTACATTTATTGGTACATGACAGAAACAGCAATCCTTTTAAAACTATGAGTCAATAATTTTAAATTTTTAGTAGTGGTGTTATTTGCATGGCCTATTTTTTTCCCAGTAATTCCTAATTCCATACCTCTGGCTTACAAAGTGGTATCTGTTTGCCCCTAACTGTGCCAAAAGAGCTTTAGTGACACAATGTTTAAGTGCTTGGCTGCTAACTGAAAGGTCGGTGGTTTGAACACACCAGCTGCTCGCTCCACAGGAGAAAGATGTCTGATGCACTATTCCATTGACAAAACGCTTGTTTTTTAAACACACATTTTTAACCTCTTGAAATTGAAACTGGGATGCATCTCAGACTCCCAGTCAGTCATGGCTTATTTGTGTGAAAACCTCCCACAGATACCTTGACATCTAAGTTCAAGAAAGCACCAACAATGCATCTTAAAAGTTGTTGAAAATATTATAGCTGCGTTCACATGGATTAAAGTTGTTTCCAGGAATGGTTTTCTTTCTGTCTTCTCCTTTACATTTTGTTACCTATGTAACAGAAGCTTGGGTTTTCTGCCCTCTATTCCCCAATAACTTATTCCACAAATATTTATTGAGTTCCTACTACATACCAGGTACTATTTTTGGTACTGAAGATAAAAGTACTCACAAAATGTAAAAACCTCTTTTATATATTGTTGTGTCCCTTATTGTTACACACAGGGATTCAATAGCTGCAACTTCTAAAAATTCAGACTCTCTTTGCCCTATCACAGACAACAGGCTCCTCCTAAAATCCCATCTCCCAATCAGTTTTTACTGGTCGTAAATAGGAATGGTATGCCCTTCACTTAGGTAACTCTTGTGAAAATGATGTTATCACCAATACCATCTTGTCATATTATTACTGGGCAACTTTTTTCCAGGATCAGAATAAAGTTTCTAAATAATGTGATTAAGACAAAATTAAGAGCTCTGAGAAAAATGAGGCGTCGATTTTGGCATGTGCGCGCACACACACACAAAGGTATTTCAACACACACACACACACACACACAAAGGTAAATTCATTCATTAAGCCGTTCAGGAAGAAAAGCATCACAAAACTTAGAAACTTACCCACATACCGATCCTCTTTAAATGTGACTCCTCTCCCCTCTATGTCCTTATAAAAGATTCACTTCCCTGCCGAATAGAACGCAGATACTCCTTTCCTACAAGGTGTAGGTAGGTAAATAAAGTTTACTCAAGGGTCGCCTGTTATCAGAATAAACAACAAAGTATTTCTCACCCTCTCCCCCTCACCTCCATTAGGTTTGTCTGCCCAACACGAGTCACTGGGAAGAATCGCAGAAACCTACATTTCCAGGGAGGCCACCAAAGAGCCGCAAGCATGCACCTGAGTCGGCCACAACCATGTGGCTACACCTGGTGGGAGTCGGGACAACCTGAAGAAGACTTCCCACTCTGGACAGGAAATCAGAGTTCGTACTGAGTGCTCAGAAACTTCCAAAGGGTTCTGTTAAGAGCTTGGGCCCTCCTCTGCCTCCTTAGTCAGGCGACTGCCGCGCGCGGTGCTTCTCCGGGGTGTGTTGTACCACCGCTACGCCGCAGAGCCAGGGCCAAAGGGGGGCTATAGCCGGGCTGCCACTTGCCGCTGATCCCACCGGGACCCTTCTCACTGTGAGGGCACCCACCGTCCTCGGAGCCAGCACCCCCTCCGCTGCCTCGCCGACTACCTCTTTATAGACGAAACCACTCACCTGCGACCCCGGCGACACCTCTGCACGGTCGCCTCTAAGAGGAGGAGAAAAAAAGATGCTTCATTTATTCCCCGCCCACCAACTTCACTCGCCCCTCTCCTTCACTCATTGGCTGGTGAAACTGCCGCTCGGGTGTTGCGGCTCGGCCATTGGTGTGGAGGGCATTGCCATCTGGCCAAGAACCCGCCCCAAACCTGGCCTCACAATGGGAATAGAGTCCCAAACCGGTTCCGGGTTAGTGCCCTGGAATTCCGCCCCCTCCTGATTCGCGGCTTCCCTCTGTGCGCCCAGTCTTTGGCGCGCGAGTCTGTCCGTCAAGTGTCCTTTAGGAAAGGATTGGCTCCTAGCGATGGGTTTGTTGCGCTCTTCTGCCCGATTGGGGCACTGACTGCTCCATATCCAAACTCTGCTGTTGCCCTTGACTTTCATCAGTGACCTGTTAAAGTGGCGAAAAGAAATTGGGAGGCTTTTTTGTCCTAGCTAGTCTATATAGCCCATCATCACCTTGAACTCAACCAACTGCGATCAAGTTTGGCCTCACCTTTGCCAAAGGTTACCAGTGATTTCCTATGGCCAAATCTTAATCCTTACCTTACTCAACTACGCAAAAAAAAAAAAAAAATTGATTTGTTGACCCTTTCTTGGTTTCATTACCTCCTATGCTGCTCTCTGGTTTTCTTCTCTCTCTGAATCCTCTTCTCTATCGCTCTTTGCAAATTGCCTCTTTCTCTGCCATCTCAAGTTTGGGTGTTACTAATGGATCTGTCTTCTCACTGACTCTTTTCAGGCCTCTACTGGTTCTCACCTATATTCCATGAACAGTCTCCCAGTAGTCTCCCAATGTCAGTCTTATCTGTCCAGCTGTACACGTTTCACACACAAGCCAAGATGAGCTGCTTAAAAGTTCTTTAATGAAATCTCACTCATGATAAAGTGAGTGAGTAAAATGCTTAGAAAACAGTGAAAGATAGGGCACTTGCTTTCCCACTGGCTTCATTTCTCATCAGCATTTCCCCCTTCTCTCCTCCTTCCTCCTTATTCCAATTCCTTTATTTCTTTCAGTTCCTAAACTTGAAGGTGGTTTTGGGACTTGGGTCTCCCTCCATTTCCAAGTTGGCCCTCCAATGTAGGATTACCAGATAAAAGGACACCCACTTAAATGTGAACTTTGCATAAACTATAAATTATTTTTAGGATAAATATATCCCATCCAATATGTGATGTCCTTTATTTTCATTTGCTAAATCTGGCAACCCTCCTACAATGTGTTCCAATCATAGCCTGTATCTCCTCTGACAGCACTTATCACATGTTCCATGTAGTGCCTAAGGCATTTTACTGCTAACCAGAAGACTGGCAGTTCAAATCCACCACCAGCCACTCCTTGGAAGAAAGATTGGGCAATCTATTTCCATAGAGATACCTCCTGGGAATCCCAAGGAGGGGTCGCTATGAGTGGAATCAACTCCACAGCAATGAAGTTTTTTTTTTTTTGTTTTTTTCTCCATTATTATAGTAACTTCCTTTACCTAGTACAGTACCTAGAACAAAATTAAAAACCCCAAAACCCACTGCCATCTAGCTGAGTCAGACTCATAGTGATGTGCATTGGGTTTGCAAGGCTGTAAATCCTCCCACAGAGCCACAACCACCAATCTTCTGGTTAGCAGCCAGTCCTGACTCACAGTGACCCCTCCTTGGGTTGACGAGGCGGTATCTCTACAGAAGTAGATTGCCCAATCTCCTTTCTGAGGAGTAGCTGGTAGGTTTGAACTGCGAGGCGTCTGGATGGAAGTCAAATGCCTTAGGCACTGTGCCACCAGAGCTCCTTTAGAACATAATAGGCACTCAAAAAAAAAAAAAAAAAAGATTTGGTAAATGAGGAAGATTGGGCAATCCTACTTCCATAGTGATACTGCCTCAGAAACCCAAGGAGGGGTCCACCGACTCGACGGCACATAACAACAACAACAACAAATGATTTAATGTTCTAGATAAATGTTGAATCTTTATTGAATATTCCTGGAGGAGCTCTCTTCCATGAAATGGGAAGTATTTAGAAAATGTGCTCTTTGAAATTAAATGAAGCTTTTAATCTTACAAATTTTTACTTATATTTCTGTCAAAGAAGTATGTCTATATTTTTGCCTAAGTAGAATTTTAAAAAATTAAAAAAGAAAGAAAGGGAAGGGGGAGGAAGGAAGAGAGGGAGGGAGGGAAGATGGAAGAAGGTTGTGTTGTTTGGGAGAAAATGCAGGAATTTGTATTTTATAATCTTGGGTTTTGTTTTGTGGTGGATTTTTTTTTTTTTTTTTTTTTTTTTGATGAGTGTAATAAGAATATAAGAAAACAACTCATGTCCATTATGACTGGATATTTTCTCTCTGTTCCATTCCAGAGTCTGTCAAATATTTTAAGCCTTTTTGCTTAACTCAGTGGGGAAAAGGCCTAGACTAAGTCAGTAAGTATTAAGAAACTTCTGTTTTCATAACATGAACTTTATAAGCTTTCCCCAATTAACCTCTATTTCCTTGCTGGCTGCAGGGACTTTTCCAGACATTTTCACTATTTATTTCCAGCTATTTCTTATATGATTTGATGACCAGTAATGAAGAGTTTGAAGGTAACTCAAATTGCTCAATATTAGTTGACTTACAGAAGGCTGGTGGTTCAAATCCACCAGCCACTCCTCAGAAAGAAGACTGGGCAATCTACTTCCGTAGTGATACCTCCTCAGAAACCCAAAAATGGGTCGCTACGAGTCGGATCTGCCTCGATGGCAGGGAGTTTAGTTTTTTTGGTGCCCAAAACCAAACCAAACCCACTTCAGTCAAGTCTGTTCTGACTCATAGCAACCATATAGGACAGAGTAGAACTGCCCCATTGGACTTCCAAGGCTATAATCTTTATAGAAGCAGACTGTCACAACTCTCTCTTATGGAGCGGATAGTGGGTTAAAACCATGGACCATTCAAATGGCAGCCAAGTACTTTAAACACTGCACCACCAGGGATCCTTAGTTCCTTACTCAAATTCACTGCTGTCGAGTCGATTTGACTCATAGTGACCCCTCGTTGGGTTTCTGAGGTGGTATCTCTACAGAAGGAGGTTGTCCAATCCTCCTTCCTAGGAATATCTGGTTGGTTTGAACCCACAGCCTTCTGCCTAACAGTCAAATGCCTTAGGAACTATGCCACCAGAGCTCCCTAGTACAAACCTGATATTCTTTCTGTTCACTGATTTGAATTTTGTTAATACTAATTTCAGATTAGAATTACTAATCTTTAGTAATTTCAATTAGTAGATACTAATTTCAGATCCAACAAGCTGGACTATATGATGAAGAACATAGCATCAAATCTGAAGGAAGACTCACTAACAACCTGTGATATGCAGATTCCTGAAAGTGAAAAAGACTTGAACCACTTACTGATGAAGACCAAGGACTGCAGCCTTCAGTATGGTTACACCTCAATATAAACAAAACAAAAATCCTCACAACTGGACCAATAAGCAACATCATGCCTGATAAATGGAGAAAAGATTGAAGTTGTCAGGGATTTCATTTTACTTGGATCCACAATCAAGCCCATGGAAGCAACACTCAAGAAATCAGACATCATATTGCACTGGGCAAATCTGTTGCAAGTATGCCTGACCCAAGTCATGATATTTTCAATTGTCTCATAGGCATGTGAAAGCTAGATAATAAAGAAGACTGAAAAAGAATTGATGTGTTTGAATTGTGGTGTTGGTGATGAATACTGAAAATACCATGGACTGCCAGAAGAACAAACAAATCTGTCCTAGAAGAAGTGCAACCTGAATGCT